CGGAGAGTCACCGGAGAGCTGCACGGAGTTGGGCCGCCAGAGGAAGGAAGAAGAGGGAAAGAGAGGGCCAACTAGGGTTTTCTTTTGTTTATTTTGCATTTAAACCAAAAAGCCCAAAATCCTAATTTCCAACTCTAATGGAAAGCCTATGGGCTAGAGGAAACTAGAATTCTATTTTCAAATAGTTCTAACGGCCCAAAACAAGAAACCCAAAATAAAATAGATAATTTAAACTCTAATAGCCAAGGATAATAATTCAAAGAAGAGTAGAATTTAAGAAGGAAAATCTTAAAACCCCTGAATTTAAGATTTAACTAAAAAATCTCCTAGGTCGAGAACTTAAATTATCTTAATCCAATGAATTTAAACTTAATTCTAATTTAGTCAAAAATTAGAATTTCAAAGTTAGAAGATCCAAGAATTAAAGTTATCAACTTAGGGAAAAATCCAAAGACATTATTTATCTCTTAAAATAAACGAGTCAGAGAACGCGGGGCGTTACACTATTGATATGAGTATCTGATGTACTTACGATATATATGTGATATGCATCTGATATACTACTAATATGAGCGTCTGTACAATATGTTTGTGTTATACATCTAATATACTACTGATATAATTGTCAAATATACTACTAAAATATAGTATCGGATATACTTCAGATAAAAGTGAAAAGTTTTGTTATATTTGAAAATTTAAAACGGTGACGTATTTTGAAATACATAAAAGATTTTTTTGTTACCCATTGCAATTTCTTTTTCAGCATTCCATTAAGTTTTTTTTTCTCTCATCTGCTCTTAAAACACACTCACAAAGTAATATTTAAAAGAAATTTTTATATTAATTAAATTCATAAAATCTTATTTAAATATAATTTATGACCATTATTAACAACGCTCTTTGTCCCCAAAGATAGTTTGGGTATCTTTGGACCTGAAGGAATATCCTTGAAGTCTTGAGTAGTTCAAGTAGCATGGAACACAATTCCACCAAGTAATGACCCCTTGATACTTAATGAGCTAACCAAACGAAGCAACTAATAATTTTGAAAACATATCCATGAAAAATCTTATATTTTAAAGCCTACATCAATGGTTTTTTCATTTGTAAGTTTGGTTAGTTTGTCCTTGTAGTGCTCCGGAGGAAAACATATACTTGAATTTGATGGTACACATGCCCATAGACATAGATATAGAAAAATGTTGATAGATTCTTTTACCAATAGTTAAAAGAAAAAGACAATATGCTGATACAAAATGCCCATTGATATAGCCAAATTAATCACTGATATCATGCTCTCAACAAGAAAGATCTGAGTTTAGTAGCCGTTGGCCAAAACTGGTGCTGTTTACAAAGGATCAATATGGTAAAAATTTGCTGGAAGAAATAGATTATCCTCTCATGGAAATGTGGCCAAAAATCATCAATTATTTCATGCAAAGCTCATTAATTTTATCCAGTATTTCCTTAGACAATATTTTCCTTAGGCAACTCCTTAAATCAAGGCAAAATGCCCGATTTTATCTCGTGACAGTTGGTCATTGATTCTTTGTGTTTGCTTTGCTTCGTGTGATGCATGTGTACTTTGCTTTCTGTAATGTATATTTGTAACC